GCAATGTGAGGTATAAATAATAACTGTGTAACAAGAACCACATATTTTGATATGTTTGAAATCCTATTTAATAGGAATATCAATAAATTCTGCACAAAAGCTCAAATAATGTCCAATTTATTGATTAAACAAGCGGCAAAATGTCTTAAATATCACATTAACTAAAATACAGACATGTAAACAACAGCTAGTGCAAAATAACAAATTTGGGGATTTTTTATACGCCTACATTTTCATGTGGACATATATTGTCGTCGCCCCTGTCTATCCGTCCGTGTGTCCGTTCACATTTGTTTGTGGACACTCTACATGTCACAATTTTTATCCGATTTTGATTAAACTTGAAATATAGGTCTATCTCCCAAAGATCTCAGTTCCTTTCGATATTGGCATGTATCGAACCATAACTTTATGAATTATGGCCCCTGGTTGTACGAAAAATCACGTTTGTAGCTCGTAGACACTCTCGAGTTCACAATTTTCATTTGATTTTGATGAAACTTGAAATGCATGTTTATAGCCTAACGATCTTGGTTCCTTTCGATATTTGCGCATATCGGATCGTAACTTCCTGAATTATGGCCCTTTTTAGCTTGTGGACCCTCTAGAGGTCACAATTTTTATCCAATTTTAAAAACGTTTAAATCTATCACCATTACACCCTGATGACGGTTGAGTTCCAATTTCATGAAAATTGGACCAAAACTGCCTGACAAAATGGCGGCTCCTTGTACGCAAATAGTGTAAAAGTATGTCATACCAAGGTTGTGGACCCTCTAGAAGTCACAATTGTTATCAGATTTTGATGAAACTTAAAATATATGTTTATGCCCCAAAGATCTCGGTTCCTTTCGGTATTTGTGCATATCAAACCGTAATTTCACGGATTATGGCTCCTGATTGTACAAAAAATTGTGTTTTTTAGCTTGTGGATTCTCTAGAGGTCACAATTTTTTATGCGATTTTAAAAATTGTTTAAATATATCACCATTCCACCATAATGAAGGTTGAATTCGAACTTCGGAAAAATCAGAATGAAAGTGCCCTACAAAATGGCTGCTCTTTGTACGCAAAGTGTGTAAAAGTATGTAATATGAAGGTTGTGGACCCTTTAGATGTCACAATTTTTATCCAATTTTGATGCAACTTAAAATATATGTTTATGGTGCAAAGACTCCGTCCCTTTCCATATTTGCGCACTTCAGACAATAACTTTCTGCATTATGCCCCTGATTGTTCGAAAAATCGCTTTTATTTTTAGCTTGTTCTTTATCCATCTCTTGCAAAATGTGGGCATATCTTGCCTGACAAATGCTGGTTCTTGTACTTTAGCATATAATTTCATTTTTAATTAAAGCAACCTTTCATAGAGGTTGTAATGTCTTTGTGATGTTAACTTTTCTTTCTTTCAGTGCTAGTTATCAAATTACATCCCTTATTATTGGTCCAGTGTCAGTAAGATACATTTCTCTTTCTGAGACCCCCACTTTTTGCACCCACTAACAGGATCTTTGACCGTGGTACAATGTATTGTACCGGTACATTGATTAATGTTGGTATATATTTTCCACTGACATATGTTATAGTTGTCATTAGCCAGTTTGTTTCTGATATAAATTCCCACATCTTATAAACGTCCTTTACTAATCAAGACCTTCTATATAGCAAATATAAACAAAGGAACTGTAAATTATACTTTATTATAAAACAAAACGTACAGTTTCGGAAGTCATCTGCTTCTGAAAGTTTTGGCTTTTTTTTACACTCCAAAAGCTGGACACCATTTCTTATGAAAGCTCTTGCAATACTTCCATATTTGCATGAATTGTTCATTTGGTCATAAGGATGCTATGGAAAATCAGAGTTGAAGCTTGTAAATGCTTGTAACCATCATAGAGGACAAAGTTCTTGATGGCATGTTCATTAGTGAGGTTGTTCGTTAGTGTAAGGCAGAATCTTAAAGAATATCACAATTGACAATCTCCCCCAGGTCTATCATTAACTAGGTAATATGTCTTGGGTGTGATGTGATGACTTGCACATAGTTGTTTTTGAGGCACAATAAATCTCTAAAATGTCTTGATTGATGAGAGTCACCATCGGTATTCACATTTATCTCCTACCCAGTAGTCTTTGACATTTGGAAATCTATGTATCTGTTGCTCCCGTTATAGCTAGGTTGTTTCTATAAGTCAACATATGATGTATTCATTGAATTCCAAAATGATTATAAGCTTTCTAAAAATATGTCAGAATTGCTCTAGGAATTAGAAATTAATTCAAAATCTGGGAACATAGCCTATTTTTTCTGACCTATCCATTTGGAATTTATGTACCATATTGACCAGATATGAATAGATTAGTGTACAACTGACTAAATAAAATATGCATAAATGGTAAGCATATTCCCTAATAAACTAATAAAGTGTAGTGGATAAAATAGACAGAAATAATCATATGTGCTTGAAATGTGTTCATTATACACAAAAATAACATAATTAATAATAATAATGGAATATTTATTGTTTGGTTGTTCTTCTTCTTGAATTTGTTAAATTATTAAATGTATTTCCAAGTCACATATTAAAACAAACTGCCATCAGAGCAGGAAGTACGCTTAGCTGAACACCAACTTGGATCAACATTGACCTAAATGTTAAATACTCTTCAAAAAAAGTAGGGGATATTGAAATGCAAATACCTATGCAGGTTGTGATTTGATAAATAGTCATGGACACTTGACATGCTTTGAGAGTATGTTCACAGATGAAGAACTTATCGCCCCAACAGAACCACTGAGCTGCATGTGCGACACGCAATAGCCCCATACACATGGGAGGGGTTCATTGTCAAATTTGACACTTCAAGGAAGGGTTGATGAAAACTGCCGCTTGCTGGTTTATCTTATCCATGTTTGCTTTCCTATCGGTTCTTGCATAAGATTCACTGTTTAGCATATCTTTGCTTTAGTGTGTTACGTTTAATTTGATCGGGAGACGTGTTGATTGGATGGTTGATTAGGAGCATGCCACGACTAATTGCTGAATGTCTGAGGATTGGTGGAGCAATTACTCATTATTAAGACAAAAATCAAAAACGTCCATTTTCACTTTTGACAGTGGATCTCTTTGCGAGTGAAATGGGGCCGTCAGATAAGCCGCCTATATGAACTGTTTATGTTCATGTGTAGGCAATTGGCCTTTTATTAACATACACTGGTTACCTCTAATAAAAACAGCAGTGTATTTCCGCAGTTTTGTATTGTTTCTGAATATCCCCTCAACAATTTTAGAGAATGTGTATTATAAACCAGGTACACTTAATTTATCTGAACACAACAATAATTTTCTTGAATGAACCTTGGTTTATTAGAATTTAAAATATGACTCTGTAAATTAATATAGATGTGTTGTGTAGATGTGGTGTGTATCCTATTTCAAAACCGTAATTTGTCAAACAAACAAACACCAAAGCCATAGATATTTTAATTACATCATTTGTGTATTAGAAATTATTGTTGTTCTGAAATAGTTTTCTTTTATCAAACTTATTAATTAAGCAGTTAACGTCAAAATCTGGACGTAATGTGTTCTATTCATGGTTCTAAAAGTTGAAGACTCAACTTTAGCATGATATATGACCAGAAATATTGCAAATGAAGCTGTATAAGTTTATGACTTTAAAATACATGTATAGTGAAAATGTTGAAATTGTTTTTGCAGAAATCGGTCCCTATAAGGACAGTAGTCAAATTCTTTAACACAAATTTACATGTCAGATGTTCATATATGGTATTAAGAGACCTTTAACAAATAAATCACGCTATAACACTATTCTAAAGCCGTATCCATGATTACAGATTTGTTTTCGTCAAATATTTAGATTTCGAAATGTTCACAATTAAGCAGAATTAACAATAAAAACAAAATCACAAATTACTACGGCATATTATAAAAATCTTTTCAGATAAAGCGACCGAAATAACAAAAGAAAGTAATATTAGAGTTGAAACCAACTGATTTCCAAAGGTGATTGCATGCTTTTATAAATAGAACAAGTTGGCGACACATGGAGCTTGTGCTCTCGATCTGTGCATGAAACAGATGTAAGGAATGAAAGGAATTTGTTTATTATACGACTGGGAGTTTGATTATTTTCCGTTGACTAATTGTCCAAAAAGGCTCATTTATCGTGTCGAGTTTCTGAATTGTTAAGCTTTTAAAAGAAGGGAACAAAACATACCCTAATGCGAATATATTGGGAAGACATATAAATTGACAAAGACCAGTTTCATGTGAAAAGCATGCACGCAGATAAATTATATAATAAAGACAATATAAATAACAATATTTTCGTACAACCGATTTTAAGACACATTCATTAAGAGTTGAGTGGTATCACGATAATTAGTATAAACAAATGAAACCCACAAAGACAAGAATTATTAATAACTGCAGCTCGACAATGGTACGCAGTATAAAACATGTAGTATTCATCAACAAATGAAATATGCATAGATTAAAGAAGGTACATCTACAGCACGTATAAATCCATGTATTAAGACCTACCCTTAACAAAGACCGATCTGCGTAAAACACACAGTCGAATTAAAATGTGGGCGTATAAAAACTGAGGTATACCATTGGAAACATGTTAAAGTTTCCTGGACAATTGGAAATGAGAATTATAGTAGGTTGTAGTTGTGGGTGCAAAATTGTCCTCATAGTCCACTCTACAGCATATACCACTGCATTAGCACAGTTTGTGCAGAAAAGTAAGAAACCCCATTTGATTTTATTAATTGGATTTCCCAAAGATGAATTAACCCCACTGCACAATTTATTGGCTGAAATGCTGGTAAAGAATTAGATTGTGAGTACAGTTAGTGAAGGTTAGACATATTAATGTATTGCTGCAGGGGATTGACTATAATCTAATGAAAACTTTAGCAATTGTAGAAGATAAATTTAAAATAAGGATGTTTTTCTCTTTCTTTTTAGAATTGATGTTTTGGGTAGACAATATACTGAATTGGAAGATGAATTTCGAATGGCATTGCAAATTGAAGCCTCTCGGTTCCAGCAAGTATGTTTGTTTATCTGTCAGTCTGTTACTAGTGATGTCCAATAAAAACATTTCTTCTTGGCATTTTAATAAATTTCAAGAAAAAGTGTTTAACCCTTTCGCAACACATGTGTCCACATTGAGATGTATATTAGGAAATTAGTGAAGAAAAGAATTCATTCACTTGATTTAAAGAAAAATGATTAAGCTGTCGAAAAATATGTCAGGATTGCTCTGGGGATTAGAGATGAATTCAAAATCTAGGAACATAGCTTATTTTAGTCAAGTAAGACTATTTCCTAAATATTCAATGTACACACAAAGTTATAAATCACAGGCAGATGAAGTTATTAAAGTCTGTTCTTGCATGGCTTAATCATATTGATAATAAAATTTCTTGGATAGGACAAACACTGAAGTTTGCTTATCAGGCAATTTACTAAGCTCTGGCAGTGTGTCAACACACTTTCGCTGTACTTTAATGTATATCCAATTATCAATTAACTATCTGAGTAAAATGAAAATTTATTGGACAAAAATTTCATCAGATCTTCTTTTGGGGGCTGAAATAAAATACCAGCAGCATGTTATTTTCCAAATGTTTTAGTTCCCTTTAAAAAAAAGGTCTATATTGAGTTAAACATCAAGTAGAATAAATGTATTTTTCTGTGAAATGGATATGTTGTTAGTTTAGATATATATATTCCACTTGTACCGTAAAATATATTTAACAGGTTCAAGAGGCTTTTGAAAGAATATCAGAAGAAAATGCAGGAAATAAAACAGAATTAATGGGAGCTTTGAAAAAAGATGAAAAAGCATCAGCAATGCTTAAAGAACTTTCTTTGGTATTATTATTATAGCATATTTATAGTCCTCCCTTTCATAACATGTGTTGAGGGGCCCTTTACAAAGTGATAATGTAATATAAAACAACCAACAAGATTATGGACATGTTAACAGTTGTATACAGAGTCAGTTAAAAGCTTGTTTAAATAAATGTTTTAAGTTTTTTTTTTCAAAAGAATATAGAGATGTGCAACATCTTAAACTAATTGGTATATTATTCCATAAAACTGGCTTGAAAACTAAAAGAGCGCCGACCATAAGTGACTATAGGTTGAACAGTTTTGGACTTTAAAAGTAGTTTATCTGATGTATGTAATGTTTGACCAGGTGTATAAAGTAAATATGAATTATTTAAACATTTAAAAGTAAGTAATAAAATTTTAAAATCAATTCGATATTTAACAGGTAACCAGTGTAAATTATATGAAACAGGAGTTATGTGGTCACATTTCTTAGTTAAAGTAACAGGTCTAATTGTAATTTATCTATAAGCTTTAAAGGTAAACCAACTAAAAGTGAATTAAAGTTATCTACCGGTAATCGAGAAATGACCAGAGAATTAACAAGTGACTTATTGCCTCTACAGTTAAAAATTTACAGATTTTACCTATATTTTTTATATTAAAATAGCAGTTTACAAATATTATTTACTTGTGCTCCCATAAGCATAAAACTAGCAAAAATTGTGCCAATATTACGAGCAGAATAAGACGAAAACATCACAGTTACCATTTACAGCAGCGGGGTTATCTTGTACAAATTTACTTAATTGATGCCTTGAGCCTAATAACAAATATTTGGTTTTATCATCATTCAGTTTTAGAAAGTTCTTTGATATCCATTTTCTAATTTCACTAATACAGTTCTCAAGTTGCAGTTTTGATAAATTGAAAAAAGTTAGACAATTAGGTGTAAATGAAATATATATTATATAGGTCATAATTCTATATATACTCTTCAAAAAAAGTAGAGGATATTCAGAAACTATATAAAACTGCGGAAATGCACTGCTGTTTTTATTAGAGGCAACCAGTGTATGTTAACAACAGGCCAATTGCCTACACATAAACATAAACAGTTCATATAGGCGGCTTATCTGACGGCCCCATTTCACTCGCAAAGAGATACACTGTCAAAAGTGAAAATGGGCGTTTTTGTTTTTTTGTCTTAATAATGAGTAATTGCTCCACCAATCCTCAGACATTCAGCAATTCGTCGTGGCATGCTTCTAATCAAACGTTTTGGGGCAACCTGACCCACTTTTCTTGCAGTGCTACGGCCAATTCTTGCAGTGTTGTCTGTTGACGTCGACGAACACGTCTCCCGATCAAATTAAACGTAACACACTAAAGCAAAGATACACTAAACAGTAAATCTCATGCAAGAACCGATAGGAAAGCAAACATGGATAAGATAAAACAGCAAGCGGCAGTTTTCATCAACCCTACCTTGAAGTGTCAAATTTGACAATGAACCCCTCCCACGTGTATGGCGCTATTGCGTGTCGCACATGCAGCTCAGTGGTTCTGTTGGGGCGATAAGTTCTTCATCTGTGAACATACTCTCAAAGCATGTCAAGTGTCCATGACTATTTATCATATGGCAGCCTGCATAGGTATTTGCATTTCAATATCCCCCACTTTTTTTGAAGAATATATTTATGCCAAATACAGATGAACGTGTCAGATTTAATATTAATCATGTAGGGTTTTTTATCACTAGTTAAAGATTGTTAAAAACAATTTGGAATTGATTTGATTTAAACAATATGTATTCAAATAAGATTGACATTTAAAGATACATACATAGTCAAAGGTAAGGATTGAAAAAAAGGCAAAGGCTTATTATATTAATTTGTCTCCTTGTTAATAAATATACTTCAAAAATGCAGTTACAATATGTACACTTCATTTACAAAATACATTTAGCACTGCGATGTTTTATATTTGCTATTAATTGTGCATGTAATTTAATAGTTTGTATCACTTCCAATGCTGTACCATATATAATATGATTTGTGTGATATTTTGAAGACAACAAATGCATAGGAACAAAGAAAGTAATTAATGGTTATTGTAGTGTTTTAGATAAATGTATAAATTCGTGGACTGTATTAAAAATGTGCGTATTCATTTGCAATGTATTATTTCTATCACTGTTAGAGTTTGTAAATTAAAAAAAATATTTGGTAATGTATTTTATAGTTTGGAATCTGACATTGGTAAAATTTGGACAGTGTAACAAATAGTCTTCCATATCTGCCATATATTGACCACAAGAAGAAGTTGGGTTGTCCGTTAAGTGCATGGATAATTTATGGTAGTTTAAGTTGCTTTTATTGTGACGCAGTTTAGTATTGATTATTTGAGAAGATGTAAAAATATTTAGGTAATAAAGTATCATCATTATAAGTTAACTATGCTTTAAAGATTTGGAATTGATGCATGGATCCTTTTTTTTCACATTATTAAATAAAAAAAATGACCTGATTTCCATCCATTCTCAGTGGGTTATTGACAGTACTCATAAATACCAGTAAAACCTATGATAGCTTAACTGCTTCCTTCAGTACTTTCGTTATCTACCTTTTTGTCCCCCGCCTTTCGAAGAAAGCAGTGGACTATTAAAATGGGTTCGTCTGTCTGTCTGTCCGTCCGTCTGTCTGTCGGTCCGTCTGTCTGTGCGTCACACTTTTTGGGACACAATAACTCTCCTTATAATTGACCTAGAATGTTCAAACTTGGTGTAGGTGTATATTAGGTCAATGCCTTGATGGAGTTTGAAGATGAGCATTTTCTGCTTAGGGTAAGCAGAGATAAGCAATTTGATTGGTTGATGCTTTGGGACACGATAACTTTAATTCTAATTAAGCGAGAGTGATGAAACTTGGTGTATAGTTTCATTACATCAATACCTTGACTAAGTTCGATAATGAGCATTTTCTGCTCAGGGTAAGCAGAGCGATAAGCAATTTGATTGGCCGAGACTTTGGAACACAATAACTCAACTTATAATTGAGCTAAAATGTTCAAACTTGGTGTAGGTGTTTATTAGGTCAATGCCTTGATGGGGTGTGAAAATGAGCATTTTCTGCTTAGGGTAAGTAGAGATAAGCAAATTGATTGGTTGATGCTTTGGGACACGATAACATTAGTTCCAATTAAGTGAGCGTGATGAAACTTGGTGTATAGTTTCATTACATCAATACCTTGACTAAGTTCGATATTGAGCATTTTCTGCTCAGGGTAAGCAGAGCGATAACCAATTTTATTGGCCGAGACTTTGGAACACAATAACTCTCCTTCTAATTGAGATAGTATGTTCAAACTTGGTGTTAGGTGTTCATGAGGTCAATGCCTTGATAGAGTGCGAAGATGAGCATTTTCTGCTTATGGTAAGTAGAGATAAGCAATTTGATTGGTTGATGCTTTTGGACACGATAACTTTAGTTCTAATTAAGTGAGAGTGATTAAACTTGGTGTATAGTTTCATTACATCAATACCTTGACTGAGTTCGATGATAAGAATTGTCTGCTTAGGCTAAGGAGCAATAAGCATTTTGATTGGTCAAGACTTTGGAACATAACAACTCTGCTTCTAATTGAGGTAGAATGTTTAAACTTGATGTAGATGTTCGTCTTGACTTAGTTCAATGATTAACATATCGAGCTAAAGCTAAGCAGAGATAAGCAATTTCCTTGGTTGATGCTTTGGGACAAGATAACTTTGATTCTATCTGATAGAGAGTTATGAAACTTAGTGTATAGTTGATAATCAGTTTGATTGCTCGATACTTTTGAAAAAAATAGATGTGCGATTAATTAATATGTGTCATCTATTTATTTGTGGATTTCGGCGGGGGACATCAGCCTCATTGTTGGCTTGTTTTTTTATGAAATTACCACTAACCTGGCTTGATTCTGTGAATATCTGAGAATGGGAGATTTTCTCTATAGTCAATCTTGATTACATGTACTGTACTTGTCTAAGTCGAAAGTATTTAATTGTCTTATAGTAAATGATTTTGTTTATTATGGTAATGACATTATGGTTTAAAGATATTACTTTTATCGTATTGTAGCTGTTACAGATATTTTCCTACAGGGATTATTATCTGAATCTAATGCCTCATCGAGCTTAAAAAAACTGATCTAATTTATTGTTTGAAACCATTAACTCTTGCTGCTGTAACCAGCTTGGTTCTTATTGTTGTAGACAGTTCATCCTACTGGTTTCTTCTTATTCATAGATCATAAACACTTGATTCAGTTAGTTGTAGAACTTTATGATGCACAACTAAAGCGATATAATTTCAAGAGTTGGCATAAGTTAAATGTAGCCTGTCATCTGTATCTCTACCTAACTTGTCCTTCCTGGGTCCATCTTCATATTTATATATTTGAACATGTAACCCCTAGCTTCCTACATTACAGTTAACATAAAACACAACACTTTAGACATACATGTAGATTAAAAGAATACAAAGAAGATTATAGACATAGAATATAAGCTTATAATATTAACTATATACATGTATTAAAATATTAACATACATTCTTATTAGAATACTCGTTAAGAGGACTATGCTCTAAGATGTTATATCAGTGTTAAGGTAACCCATAATTAATTCAACCATAGAAAGATATTTGGCCTGACTGACTGTGGTGACAAAATAATTAATTAAACCCTTCAACATTTGTGCTGCCATGAATATGATTAAGGCCATGCTGCCAACATCACATGACGATTACATAAGTAATAGATAAGTCAAGGTCTTAATCTTGAAATACCCTACTGTATATCACTAAGGCCATATAATGCCAATTTTTTCATCATAAGTCATAGGTAATATATACAATAAAACATAGTATTACAATCAAATTAGTATGGTAGCCAAATAATCAAGATTTGAACTAAATCGTGTATATAATTAAAGCCATACTGCATCATACATATTTAGAAGGAAAATTAATAAAACAATCGACCCACAATAAGTCATGGTAACTAACCAAAATAATGTAAGTATAGGGTTAAAAAAGATATGTGGTCAAATAAAAACATTTCAACGATAATATCAATAAAGAATTTACTCATAGTCATATGACCGAAGGTGGAAGTGTGATCAGTCTTAGATAGTGCCTACCCATATAGCTAACTATAGCACCTTATATCAAAAAGAAAAAAAAACACTACTCGTTTTGAGCACGTCTCTTTTTTACAAAGCCCATTTGTGTTTTTGTGGCATGGAATTGTCTTACCAGATCTAGGGGTAATAAATCGCGAATAATCCATTGTGGCCCTTTAATGTTCTTTAATCTAGTTTTGTACCCAAACTGCCCACGATATTTCGAAGATTGTAAAATTTTAGTAATATCTTCCTGACTGACCGTGGTGACACTGCTTTGAGATATTGACTTGTTCGAGCCTAGGTTAATAAATTGTTCAAAAAGACAAAAGAGAAAGGTTTGTTTATTGAGTATTAGATATTGTTTTCAATGCTGTACAATTCAGTAGTAAGAAATCTGATGTGTCATATTGGGATGGGCTGCGGACCCAAGTCTATGTTTGCAGGAGAAGGTATGTTTCTCCGAATGAATATGTAAATTCACAGGGAAATACTATTATAGTCGCACTATTGTATTGTTATGTCAGTTAGCTTGAGTATTGTTATTTGCATGCAATCATATCAAAATTTAATCAATTACATGCATACACTTTATATTATTTATAGTTAGTAAAAGAACAGAAGGGAAGAATTGCAGAATTATCTAAATCTAAACAAGAACAGGCACTAGAGTACAGAGTAAGTTCATTCAGTTTTCAAATCAGGGCCCAATTAGTCATAAATTATAACATCTGAGTCTCTTTTTCAAGCAACCCAATGGAGTGGTAACACACACTTTAGATCTCCTTACTGTTAGCTGCACATAATTTTTGCCTCAGTAACCAATAGTTCTAGTATTAGCAGGGCTATACTATATACCGGAAAACACCGAAAAACACTGGAAAACAACCGGAAAACACCATGTTATACTGAATACCGGAAAACATCGGAAAAACAATAAATACCGGAAAACACACTAAATACCGGAAACCACTAAAAAATAGGTAACCCGGAGAAGGGCTATACTATAAACCGGAAACTAATCCTAATCCTAATCCTAACCCTAACCCAGGCACACAGAGGACCAGGCTCCCGGTTACCTATTTAGGGTGCCAGTCTCCGGGTTACCTATTTAGGATATTTTCCGGTATTTAGTGTGTTTTCCGGTATTTAGTGGTTTTCCGGTATTCAGTATAAAATGGTGTTTTCCGGTTGTTTTCCGGTGTTTTCCAGTATATAGTATTGTCGCTATTAGCATATTTTCCAATGTTAAGTTTCACATATGGGTAAAGCCACAGTACTGTACTGGTACACAGGTTACTACATTGAGCAGAACCCTTATAAAATTTATAGATTTAGTATTACCTGGATTTGGTTTATTTGTATATATTTAGAAAATGCCCTGCAGAGATAACATATGCTACATTTAAGTGTTTCTTTAAAAGTCTAAATGAAAAATTGTCCATCAATAATTTCCCACATTTTGTAAAAAATATTTTGCAAATCACAATGCATCACTCACAAATGATCGAATTACACTGTTAATTTTTAATTTAAGAAATAGTGTTTTTTTGATTTATGTCAGAGTAGTATAAAAGGGCTTTCCACAGACAATGGCCACAATTCCATGTTATTTTTTATACGCCCACATTTTCATGTGGACGTATATTGTCGTCGCCCCTCTCCGTCCGGACATCCATCCACAATTGTTTGTGAACAGTCTACAGGTCACAATTTTTATCCGATTTTAATGAAACTTGAAATATAGGTTTATCACCCTAAGATTTCGGTTCCTTTCGATATTGGCATGTATCGGACTGTAACTTCATGGATTATGGCCCCTGATTGTACGAAAAATCACGTTTTTAGCTTGTGAACACTGTAGAGGTCACAATTTTTATCCGATTTAGTTTAAACTTGAAATGTATGATTATAACCCAAAGATCTTGGTTTCTTTCGTTATTCGCGCATATCGAACCGTAACTTCCTGAATTATGGCCCCTGATTGTACGAAAAATCACTTTATTTTTAGCTTGTTCTCTATCCATCTCTCGAAAATGTGGGCGTATCCTGCCTGGCAGCCGCTGGGTTTTTTTTTTTTGTGTAACTTTGAGTATCTTGCTGAGGTGGCTTGATTTTGATATTCAAAATTATTTACCATTAATAACTTTTAGATTTCTCATATTGTTAACAATTAAGATAATACTGTTAGGAGAGATGATAAAAGTAAAAATTGTGTTCTCTTTACATACAGTTCCTTGTGTAGTTAATAATATACTCAATGAATAAAAAAGAGTTGTTTTATAGATTTTAAACTGAACAATACCACTCTATGTCAAACTTAAATGTGCCAGTAATCTATATTTTAATATTTTAAAGGGAATTTAAGGGTAACTGGCATGAAACTTTAGTCCATGTTACCTGCAGCATTATCCCAGTACCATGGTCATGTTGTGACAAGGATCATTTTGCAGAAGTCCAGACATATCCATTTGAAAAAAAATTAATTTTAATTCTCTGTTTCAGAGACAAAATTCTTATACCATATTTTTGGCAGATATTTATAGAATATGTTGAATGTTGGGTGATTCTAGCATAACATCACTATTAAAGATAATACTGAAGTTATTTATAGAATATGTTGAATGTTGGGTGATTCTAGCATAACATCACTATTAAAGATAATACTGAAGTTAAACTATCGAGAAACAGGCCAATTAAACAATACACACCATTGACATTCATTTTTAACCCTTTGGTTAATTAACACACCTTTACAGAAAATGCCCTGTCGCACAGTTTTTCACCCCTAGCGTTAATTAATTCACCTCTCAGTCAATTTCTCACCCTTGTTAATTAATGTACTTTATTTACTGTTTTAATGGGATAATTGCTACTTATAATCGGGAATTTAATTTTGTTTGGATAGACATACTGATAACACCATAGACCAAGATTTATACACCATACTTAGTTCTCAGTGTCAGATAACATAGCTGGTGTTGGTGTATCTTTCATTATGTATATTCCTTATTGTCCTTATCTTTTCTGTTTGTCATTCTTTATAACAGTTCATCAGTGTTAAATAAACCAACTTAATAAAATAGCCCACAATATTGTAGCCTTCATATTCCTCACACAGATCATTTGAACGAGTACATTGTAGTGATTAAATGAGGATATGGTTATGATAATACCAACAAAAACTGCAATGAATTTGCTTTCTTAGAATTGCACAGATAAATATCAGATAAAATGTGTATACAACATAAAATACGTTTGCCCCCCAAAAATTAACAGCTAGCTGTTCCTGTTCAGAACTATTTCCATACTTTTGAAAAATAATATTCTTTTTAAGTCATATAGAGGTTATAGAGTTAAAAAAATAATATTGATTAATGTGCCCTAGACCACAAATGAATAAGAGTTAAAGCAAGACTTGACTATTGTAGCCATTTGTGTTATTACATGGCAATTTATGAAACAGTTTCCTCCTAGAAGTGGAATATTAAATTATAATTAACTTCATGGCTGACTTTGATCCTTTTTTAAATCCTGATTACTCTATTAAAACGCAATATAATAGGAAGTGATCAAATATTTTATGATTTGATTTTGAATGCCTTGTCTGAAAAATAATCTGCCAAATATTAAAGATACCTTCTTGCATACAAACTGGGTGATTTGATGATATATTTGGACTAAAAACATATTCAAACTAATTAATCTATCAAAACTTTGCTTCAAATCCTTCTCCAAACATTGTATTCGTGAGGAAATACCCCAAGCTATAAAAAATCTATTAAAAGTAGTCATGTTTGTGTCACGTGACTTGACTGTCGTGGCACCTAGCAATGTGTGTGAAGCCGAAGAAGAATTCATTGCATATAAAAGACGATGTTGTCTTTAATCGCTGTCCATTTATCATAAATATCAAATTCTCAGATTATGCACAGCCCACGTCTTTTTCCTTGGTTTGTATCTCAGAAACTGTTGTACGTTTAAGTCTCTTATTTTTGCCTAGTCCGCTTCCCAATAACATATACATCAAGCACTCCCTAACACTGAAAGATCAGACAATCTTCACATACAACCTTTGACGTCATTTGAGCAGACAGCCTTTAATTGTCAGACTGCCAATTAGGGACACCCTCTCATTTTTGCCCGGTGCGTCAGTGGTTCTCAACTTTTTTTGCCAATGACACACCTTGGAACACATGGAAACATAGCGGCACACCTGGCTAAAAATATATGAAAAATATTTGAATTTTGCAAAATAAAAACATGGGAAGTCAGACGGCATACAAACGTAGACAGAGACAAGCCATAGACACATAGAATGACGCAAACTAAATAAAGCTATGAACTTACCAGTAGACACCAGTGAATACTCAATTGGGATCATGTGGTTTTTCGCATTTCCTTAGTGTGCCGTTTAAAATTCCGTGGCACTCTTAGGAAGAGAATCACTGCTGTGATCACTCCATGTTTTTTTTTCAAGAAATCCAGTATTTTTCTAGAAAGATTTGGGTCCCTAGCTACTTTCCATATCATACCAAAATTTGCATACTTTCCTTGGAAATAACCACCCAATAAATACTGTTGTGGAAAAGTATCTTTAACTGTAAACTACCTTTAGTAGTTGTTCCAGACAGGTTTATGGCAATATCTAGTTGGTGAAGCAGAAAAACTGCTTTTAAATGAATTGATTTAATGGGCAGGCGTAAAACACTGGATACTGGATTCGTCCATGTCAGAGTTAGTGTTTGAATATAAATGTTAGTAGTAATATCAACTGAACCAATGGTGGGAACAGGACCCCCTCCCAAAAAATTATAAAAAGTATATGTTATAGTATATGGTCTTAAACTAACAAATCCGAAATTTTACCTCTCTAGGTCAAAAACTTGATGAGATATGGTTATTTAAAATTAGGGTGCCGAAACGGATCTTAACTTAGTAATTTTTTTCAGGTTTTCAGGCGTTTTAAACTCACATTTCTAATTTTGTAATCTAAGAAAACTTTTGGTGTAGATTACGAATTTAGCATCACACTCAATGTCCAATGCATACTTTTCGTGCCACCAGGTGAGATATGGCCATTTGAAATTAGGGTGCTGAAACGGATCATAAATTCAGTAATATTTTTTCATGTTTTCAGGCGCTTTAAACTCACATTTCTACTTTTGTAATCTAAGACAACTTTTGATGTACAGTAGAATCTGCATTAAGCAGCCACCCAAGGGAATTTTCACGACTGACTGCTTAACGGGAGTGGCCTCTTAATAAAATCTCGGTGCTTTTTGTGCTGACATCAATTAAATATTACGTTTGGATGCATTGGAAGCAAACATCAATACTTGCATCGGTAAATTTGACCGTCGCTGAATCTTGCACCAAACGAAAATTCTTTACTCAAATCTCAGAGGTAACTTCTGTAAACTTGTCATTTTGTACCAACCTTCGATACTACTGTCTACCATTGTGATGCATTCAATAATATTTATCCATATTTGTGAAGAAAATCGATGAATTAATTTTATTTTATCAAAAAAGCACATGAACAAAAACATCGCTGATTGTATCACCGATTTACAGGGGGTATAACTCTGTATGTAATATTATAGGAGGCGCTAAAACGTCTATTTAACAACAAAGTGGCAATGGAAAAGAGATATTAGATAATCATGACAAAACTC